AAATTTAATTAATAGTATATAAATTAAAATTATCTTTTAATTATTAAAGACCAACTAGGACTTATTAGGACTTTTACTAACTCTAATTGCTGAAGATGAAGGTGAAACTTCTTGTTCGAATATACCATATGAACCTAGTCTTTTGGATAATAAATTACCAATTGAAAAACCCAGTCTTTGGGATGACTTTTTACCAACCGAGGATCAAATAGTAAGTTCATGATAACTATCGTATTGAAAATAATTTAATAATAATTAGATTTTTGACATTAAATAACAAGTAAAATGGAGATGTTAAATCGATAATATTAGAACAACCTGTAGAAACAGATAAATGAAGTGAAAAGGCAACGAAACAGATAAGAAATCGATGATAACTTGACATTTTTGTTATCTATCGATACTGAAGATTTTTGTGGGACCACATTAGATGATGCCATAACAGACAAAATGCATCTGCCAAATACTGAATAGCCAAATAATATTTATCAAGAATTTATAGAAATCATTATGGAATACCAATTATCTAATTCCTGTGGTGATAGAATAATTAAGCTGATCAATAATAGTCAAAATTCCACTGATAAAAATCTGTTACCAAAAAGCATCAAGGAAGGTCGTAAATTCCTTGATGTTAACGAATTTCCTTATATGAAATTCAAAATAGTTCCTATCACAAATTTTCAGGATATAGATTATAATTTCCATTACCAACCGATAATTCACGGAATTAAGGTTTTACTTCTTCAGCCCAATATTAATAAGGAATTTGTTTTTCTATATCAAGATAACAATAAATTGATTAGGACTTATGGTGAACAATTTGAAAGTGATTGGTGGAAAACAACAGAAAAAAACATTCCTATTAACAATTATTTACTATTGATTATTATCTATGCTGATGCAATCACGTGCAATCATCTTGTAAACATCAGAACATTCAATTTATATTTTGCTAGATAAAATTCCAAGTTGGCTGCAGAATAAACCTAACGCTAAAGTCCTTGTTGGTTATTTTCCAAAAATAAAAGCAAAGGATAATATGACAAGAAATTCATAAGAATTTCGAAAATTGCAGAGACAAGTTTTCTAAAGATGCCTTCGAATGCTATTATCACCAATTTTGAATCAAAATGATATGTATTTTGTTATAAAAAATGAAATACATCAATTTACTCCCAAATATCAGTCATTCTCGAAGATATGGCAAAAGCAGCGACATTTACTGCTACATATCTTCCATTAACTTCCAAATGACCTTGTGGTTTTTGTTTAATAAGTAATAAAGATCTCAATAATATGGTGTTAACTCACATTGATTTCGAACTCAGGAAAATATGAAAGAAGCTATCGAAATAAATTAAGCCAAAGAACTTTCAATTCATACAAATTTCAATTTTTTTTGGGAATTTGATAATTTTAATATTTATGAAGCGACCATTTCAGATCGAATGCACATGTTTGATCTCGGCATCATGAAGTATCTTTTGGAGTTTACTCATGAATACTTACAACAAAAAGTTAATGCAAAAGCAGTTAAGGAGATTGATCACAGAATATGCGAAATTCCACGCTATCCAGGCTTAATAATTTTGAAGAACAGCTTGGAAAATATTTTGAAATTCACTGCCAATAATTATCGCAATATAATGAAAGTGATTATATTCGTAATGGATAATTTATACGAAGATTATAAAGAAGATGGAATACTATGTGAAAGATTATGTAACATGTTTTGTCTTTATTTAAAGATGTATATGAAGTTGCATCAGGAATCTTTTACAGATATTGAATTGGCAGAATTGCAGGTAAATATAATTAAAATCTTTAACAGTCAGTCAAATATAGATAAACATATCGATAAACTTTTTTTTTGTTTATTAGGCATATATAACTGAATTCTATCAAGAATTTGTGACAATATTTTACGATTATTTGTCAAGTCATTGCAGAATTCCAAAACTTCACGTACTTCACTATCATGTAATTCTGTCAATTCGCTGTTATGGTTTAGTGAACAGCATGTTCACAGAAACTTATGAAACATTGCATAAAAGTAACATTAAGAATCTGTATCGAATGACAAACAAAAAGAATTATGTTTCGCAGATGTTAAATACGATATGCTATATAATCTATTATTTATACTCACTTTTACTGTTATCGATATTAACTGTTAAAAATTCAATTGATGTAATAGATATAGCGTTAATTTTTGGCCTCTAAACAAATATCGGTAAAGTATAAAACCAGAAGATCTGCTAGCTTTAGAAATCTTCTATAGGAATTAAACGTTAGTAAGATTGAATCAAAAGTTTCTCAAATAAAACAAGATGATGATATTCATCGTCTATATAAAGAAGGTTTTGATAATCTTTGTGCAGGTTTCAACGAATTTTTAGTCGAAAATAATATAACTTATGATAATGAGTTTGGATATTTTAAGATATATTCAAGTGTAGCCGTTAGTAGCTTAAATAGTTCGTCGTTAAGTTAACTAAGATTATTTGCTAACAGGAAGTTTAAGTGCGTCTAAACTATAGAAGAAATAAATATGGATTATTTATGTTGAAGGGTCAGGTCGTCTTATCGATATAGATTTAAAGAAGTATGAAATTATATATTGAGCAAAGATATAATTGTTAAGAGATAAATGTTATTGA